AGCCATATCCTTACTGGGATTCGAACCTGGGCTGGTTTTACATGCTAGGCAGTTGTATTAGCCACTAAGCCACAAGCTCTCCTCCCTTATCAGCTAAGCCAGGGAAATAAGTGTTATGTCAAAGCACCTAGTATGCCCACATATGGGAGGGAGCATACTGCTTCCCTTTTTGCTTTTCAGCTCCACCCTAGGAGCCTTCCAGGCAGGAAACCATTTTTTTGTGTTGCATTTGTGCTGACCAGCTATCAAATATATTTATTTATCCCATGTACGGTGTGTGGCAGCTCAACTGGCAAATTATGACTTTGGGTAACTAATTTAAGATTTTTTTAAAAACCTGAAAATGTAAACCAATAAGATAAAAATAACAGAAAAGGACACAGAACCTCCACCTTACAGAGATCCAGAAAAGTAAGGAAGTAAGAAAGCCATGGCTCTGGAAAAAAAAACCTTAAAAACCAAGGTTATCACCTGATTCTTGAGAAATAAATAAAAATGGAGTACGGTAGTTTTATTTGTACCTCTCTTCTCAAGGGGGCATGTGAGAGGTTGATTCCCCCACAGGAAGACCACCCTAGTTGGGACATGGAGGAGTCAGCATCATGCCATGTATTTTGATTTTTTTTGTTAATGTTTGTCATTGTTTTTACTTTATTTTAATTCTGTGCCAGCCAGAATCACTTGTTGAGAGGAGCAGGCATACAAATTGAATGAGTGACTGAAAAAAAAGGAACAAGTCATTCTTTCTCTTAATGGGATCAGAACAGACACAGAATGTTGTGTCCAACCAGACTTCCATGGTGCCGGGAGCTCATGTTTTAGAATTTGCAGCTTGCTTCTGTAACACAGATGTTACCCAGATGCTTATTTCCATTCTGATTGGAGGAGAGGTCAACAAATGTTACCTGTGTTCATCGGAAGCACCTTGTTGTATTTGAACATTTTCGTGATATATTCTTCATATTCACCAAGCACGTCATTGTAAAATGCTCTTGAGGTAAGAGTAAGTTTTTCACACTGGGATTTCAAAGCCGCTGTAATCTTTGGGTGACAATGGCCTTGATTGACAGCACTGTAAGAACTTAAGAAATCAAAGTATTTTTTGCCTTCTACGTCCCATAGGTAAACACCTGGAAAGGAATTAAAACAAGCAAAATTTAGTTGTTTCAAGATGTTCTATCTAGCATGAAAAAGAAAAATTAAGCAGCTATCAATTGACATGTGACAAATACAGTACAAGTAGTACTCAGTTTATAATAGTTCATTTAGTGATTGTTCAAAGTTACAACAGCACTGAAAAAGTTGTCTTATGACCCTTTTTTTAATTCATTGTCTAAAATGTAGTTTCTATCCAAATCGAATAGAGGGTAGGTCTTTCTGTTATATGAAAGCTCACAATACACTTAAATGCAATTTCTAACCAAATTTAACATAGGGTAAATCTTTGACTTATAGGAAAGCTCACCACAGGTTTAAATGAATATCTTGCATCAGCTGATACAATGGCACCAAGGAAAGGTTGCTCTCTTTCACATTTGCAAAGCAAGCAGAAGACTAGAGAGCTGCATTTCTCTCCCAGAATAATATGCTTCAGCTAGCTGCAAGATACCAAGACAAAAAGCTGGGTATATCTAGTTTAATGAAAAGAAGAACTAGAGGAGAAATGATAGAAGCGTTCCGATATCTCAGGGGTTGCCACAAAGAAGAGAGAGTCAAACTATTCTCCAAGGCACCTGAGGGCAGAACAAGAAGCAATGGGTGGAAACTGATCAAGAAGAGAAGCAACTTAGAACTGAAGAGAAACTTCCTGACAGCTAGAACAATTAATCAGTGGAATAGCTTGCCTCCAGAAGTTGTGAATGCCCCAACAATGGAAATCTTTAAGATGATGTTGGATAGTCATTTG